ATTGTAATTCTCCTATTCATTAGGAAATTGCCAGCTACAAGCTCTGCTGAATTCCACTTTGAATTTGAAGCAGAATTTAAATTTCTCGTGCATGAAGGGAAGTTCATAAGCTTAATAACTCACAATCCTTATTCTTAAAGCAATGACTGCATTTTGGAAATCAAGTAGATCTGTTAGTTTTATGATCTGAAACCTGAAGCACAAGGTGCTAGACCTCTAACAGACCTATGCTATGTGGAATGAAATTGTATAGCTGAAGCAGTTTCCAAACCTAGATGTCTCACCTGTCCTTGTAGTCACGATAGCTGGTCTTTATTTGTTAACCAGTCCCTACAAAGCCTATCATCAGCCTAATAAGGACCAAAGTAAGAGCATTCTTCAGTGCAGCGGGCTGAAAGATGATACAGATTTCCTCCACAAAATTTCTTCCTAAAGACAATATTAGACTGGTTATATTCATCTGACAAGGAATCCCGTATCTCCAAATTCTTCTAGTCGCTTTTCTCCCTGTAAAGTTTCCAGTGGATTCAAAGGACTTGGGCAAACTTAAAAATTCAGCTGTAGAAAGTTTGTAGCTGTTGCAACTACCAAATTGGCCAGTACATTCTTTTGATAAATATTATTGTTAGTAGGGCAGGGATGCCTGCACTCTCTATCAATCAGACCCCAAGCTACTGTAGAAACTCACTACAGTAAGGACTCTGGCCAGAGAAAAAATACTAGCAAGTGCATCAAAAACTGACCTCATCTAATGCTATCATATAAGTAGGGTAGCAAAGGTAGGTGAACACTAGTGCACAGAAAATACAGATGTACTGTCCAAATCAGGACCACTGCTAAAAATATTAAGCAAAACATACCTGTAACTAAAAGGAACATTTACATGCCATGAAATACCTTTTTAGGAATACGGGTGCACTTGCTCAAGTAAGGTTAACTCAAATTAGAATATAAGCAGTGATATAACAGGTGCAGCCAGTACAGCAAGCCTACTTGTTCTACCTAAATTAAACTCTAAAAGCTACCAGGATTGTCCTCAAAAATACTGTAAGGTAAACAGAGAAGAACCGTTTAACAAACAGTGTAAACAACAGAACAAATTAGTATGGAACAGCTACAAACAACACTAGAAGACCTAAATCAGCACTCTGCTACTTCAGCAGTACTAGTCCACCTCTAGGCTCTTTTACAGGTGCAGTGACATTCTCAAACCACTTGCCAATACAGAGAGTCATTTGTGAAACCTACACCAGTATTCAGACGGAGCTTTATCACTTTATATGAAACTTTATACAGCAGGGGTTTCTGCAGAGATCAACAGGACTCAATAGCCCAAAACATTCTTTCTGGTCCTATGTTCCTTCTTATACTATAGACAAGCCACTTAACAGAACATAATATTTGGAAATGAACTACACACCAAAAAAATCCCACACGTACAAACACAAAACACATACACGTACAAGTGGTTTCTAAATAGACTAAATTCTAAGTACAGAAACACTTTCAGAACAGATACTTTACAATAGGAAGGTTTACCCTGTCATACTGAAATCATAATTTGTTATGTGGTAAGCTTTGCTTTTGTCTGGGAACAACATAAATATATTTTTTAATGTTATTCTCATAGGCTGAACCTACCTGAAAATAACATAAGTCAGAATAGAACACAAATAGAAACTCATTGGTCTATGCAAATATTTCAGTTTGTGCTCTAATGTGCTATTTCAGGCACTGTTCATTTACGTTCTCCTCAAACTTGCAACAAAAATTCTAAGCAGTACTGTATCATGTAATCTGCATACAAAAACATTTCTCCTTTAATGGCAACAAGTACAAAAGCTGAAGTATTGACTACCTGGAAAGTAGGTCTTCACTGTCCTACCTTGCAAGCAATCAAAATGCTGCCACCGAAGAATGACCAGTGCTATTTCTTAGGAAGCACTTATATCTCGTGTTCTGACTCCAGCTGACTCAGCCTTGATTCGTTATTCATGTAACCCTTCCATGTTTCCATGATCCCTTCTTTCTCTGGCGTTCTAAGATGTCCTCCCCATCTTCACTCTTACCAAGATTTTGCTTCCTAAGCAACCCAGAAGGTAATAACCTGCTTCCTCTCTCTTTACATCTCCAGAGTTTCTAAACTGCTTTCTAAATATATCTGGCTATCTCACACCTTGACTTAAGGAATTCCCTGAATTTCCAATTTCTATACTTTCTGAATGTCTATCTATCCTGCCAAATATTTCTTTGCAATGATCCTTAAGGGTCCCTTCCAACTCAGGATATTCTATGATTCTATGATCTTGATTGATTCCCCTGCTATTTTAAGACATGAGCCTTTATTATGTTCACATTAAAGGAATATTGACCACAGCTGAAAAGCAATACTAAGGGAAGTTCATTATACAAAACGTGTATAAGGTACGTAAGTACATATTATGCTGTATCTTGTGCTGGGGGCCCCAGAGCAGAACACAGTGCTCCAGGTGGGGACTCACAAGAGCAGAGTAAAGGGGAAGAATCATCTCCCTCACTCTGCTGGCCACGCTGCTTTTGATGTAGCCTAGGATACGGTTGGCTTTCTGGCTACAAGTGCACATTACCAGCTCACATTGAGCACCTCATCAACCAACACCTCCACGTCTTTCTCATCAGAGCTTCTTTCAATTCATTCTCTGCCCTGCCTGCATTTGTGCTTGGGACTGCCCTGTCCCAGATGCAGGACCTTGCACTTGGCCTTGTTGAACTTTGGTGAGAATGAGGTCCAGCATAGAGGGAGCCAATAAGGAGAAGTGCTATCTCTTGGAGAAAGAAGTTATCATCAATGCATTCATCTGCATAATGACGGTACATTGCAAGTTATTTATGAAGTTTTAAGTATCAGATCTGCTGATATTATACACTGGTTATAAATAATCTGAAAGATGCAAGTTAGTTTTAAAGATAGCGGAGACTGAAGATCTGGAGACCAAAGATCCAGTAGGCAACAGCAAAAACTTAGAAGAAAAAACACCTGTCAATGTATGTGCACATTATTTTCATCTATGTTGCTAAGTCACCCTCTCCTTTACAGAAGTTAACATATACAATTGTTTGTGTTATATGCCTTATATTCCATGCATACTTTTAAATTGTGGAAAAAAGTTACAACTGCAGACAACATCATGGTACCTTGTCATCAGGCAGCACATGCCAGATAGACACTGTCTTCTCCTCAGCTTCACTATTGATGGAGAGATATGAGGGTTGATAGATTTTTGTTGGTTCCAATATTAAAACCTTGTAAAAAATAAAATGTAAGAGTTAGTATCAAACATGTAAAATTTATGAAGTATTAAAGTCCTTTAAAACTATTTTTGTAGTCATCCTAGAGCAAGAAAAACAGGGGAAACAAGATGAATGAGTTTTAGGTACTGGGCTAGTTTAGTGTGGCTAACACTAAATTAAGATAAAAATGCCAATTTTTTAATTAAGATACATGCTATGAGTGACGTGTAATTTTCCAAATGAGTTCTCTGACAGTCATCAGATTTGGAAAAGCTTCTGTCACAAGTCCTTCCATTGCAATGCCATTCGAGAACTTATCTCCCATGTAGACAAGATTCAGGCTGTACCTTAATTATCTTTGGTAGAAGCACAATTGGGTAAATTGGAAAACACACATTAGCCTACAGTCAGAATGAACTGCTTTTGATTTAGACCACTGTGAATCACAGTAGCAAGATTAAATGACTTTCTCATAAGCAACAAGCATCACTGCAAGAGGCTGACAGCAAAAGATTATAGAAAACCTCCTAGAATAAAAGTAAAACTAGAAACATAATGTAAAAGAAATGGGATACAATGCATCAAGATTGAGTCTAGCATAGCCACTTGGTAAATGAATCCAATCTGCTACTTCAATAATGATCTGCCAGAATTGCTTTCAGATCTATGCCCTTTAAAGGAAAATGTCAGCAAAGCTCAGCTATTTGAAGAAGCATGGTTTCTTATTAAAACTGTTTATGTATTTATTTCAGATTTTCAGAGGTAAAAATCTGATGTCTAAAATGACAAATCTATAGTGCCTGTGTGGAAGGTATTCTCATTCTGAATAATGAGAAGTTATATTAATTATATTAATTCAAGAAGCTACTCTATCTTCCACCAAACTGATCTTGGGAGTTCAGAGAATTGCTTTAGAAAGTAATGAATGATTGGAAAGAGCCATCAGTCATACCTAAGTCCCAGCAGCTCCTAGAGAGTCAATGAGCAGATGGACAAATTGAAAGAAGCACAAGGCCAAATTTTGAAAGGCACTGAGGCATTTAATTCTGTAAATGGATATCCAGTGGAATTTCAAATGTATCTATCTGCATCTCTAGACAGAGTTTTTAAAATCTGGTTTAGACCATCTCATGAATTGGGGGTCAGTAGGCTACAGCCTACTTGCTGTACAAGCCACATCACTTCTTCCTCTAATTGCTGCAAAGAGAATTACAACACCAATGCTACCAGCTAGGAGACCAACTGCCAGCTAAGTGACTACCAATGCCCCAAATCCCTGAGTTTAAGCTCTGAGACTTTCTAAAAGATTATTTTATTTTTGAAAACATAGTTATTTGTAAGCGTAAAGAAGTTACTATGTTTCATTTTGCTGACTTGTTGCATGGTATGGTTTTGCTTTTGAATAGGCATGAATATTTTTATTTATTTATTTATTTATTACAAGAGATGACATATGTCTGTCAGCAACACCAGAACAGTTTCCTGTACAGGTTTTCAAATACAATCAAGCTCTATGTTCACTAAGTGTGTCTTTTGGCTCTTGCTATTACTATGAGTATTTTGTCTTTTGATAAGAAATTATTTGTCTTGGACAGTTCTATAAGTCAGAGGCTATTTTTATTTTAAGTATCTAGTTGTGACATTTTGTCATCAAAATCATAAGACTGGGCTGTGTTCTTTTTAAAAAAAAAAGAGGATTCAGAATATTTTGTTTCTCTGCAAAACTTTAGGTTCGTTCTCCTCAGAGAAGCAGAAAGAGACTCCCTAGAGAGTTCCATGTTGCTTTCATTTCACTGTCTCAGTCCATTGCTGTTCAACACTATGTTCTTCCTTATCACTTATCATCCCATTTACAACCTGAAGCCAGAAGAACTGTGCAAAACAAGTATGTACTACTTCAAGTATCTTGGTGGGTAATAGCGACTATTTAAAACAAAAAGCTGTATTTGCCAATAGTTAGTTAAAAGGAATATCCAAGACATTATTTTCTCATTGTAGATCATTAACATATAGAGGCAAAGAACTTTTTACAGCACATTGTATAACACTAAGGTATCTAATAACAATATTTCAGCAGAGTATTTGTGGAAGAAACCAGAAATATACACAAGTCATAGTGTAGCAGTATTGAAATACGTTGTTTGGTAGCTGAAAAAAAGATTTGTCTGTTTGGTCTGATTTTTACCTCTAATAGATTTTTAAGCTCTAACAGAGGATACACTTGGTTGGCAACAGGCTATGCAAAGCCTGTTGAGTCAGAGAGAGACTGGAATTAAATGCCTTTTCTTCAAAATGTACCTCAATATAGTATCACCTGGAATACGTTACAAAGTTGTGTTTTAGAAGCATTTGCTACCATTGGTAGCAAACACTAAATATTTTGACTCTCAGTACTTTATTGGAACACACTGTGCAATCCCATTGTAGCCATGTGAAATCAATTAAGACAGTCTAATATGCAGGCCAAATGCATTTCTTCTGGACAAGCAGTTTATTGTCTGGGAACCTGCAAACAAGCAGTGTTTTGTATTCATTTCCTTCATGTCACAATTAAAAACAAACAAAAAACACACTTACTGGAAATCTAACTACAGTCACATCTGTCTTTGTGGCTTCAACAAGGAAGTCCATCCAGAAGTCCACGAGTTCCTGTTTGGCCGTATGTTGCTCAGGATTCAGTTTCTTAAAATGCTGATATATCAAAATAGTCTCTACAATAGACTTCAGGTACCTGTGATCATTCAAGCATACACAATAAATAAAATACAGTTTGTAAATAGTAATGTCTACCCTTAGTTATAACTGAAGCACCCACCACTGCAACACCACGGCAGTCAGTACAATTTCGGTTCTCTAGGACTGCTTTCAATAGTAGCAGTTCCTCATTTAGAGCTGGAAACACAGCAGCTCCATTATTAATCTGAAATACAGATGAGTTCTGGGACAAAGCTTCCTGCATGTATTCCTGGTTGTTTATACTGTCTCCTATCCTAAACCATAAAAGCTTCCTGAAATAGCTAAATCCTCTGCCTATGGACCAAACTGTTCCCGTGTCCAACTTGTTGCTATAGTAAATCAACCTCAAATTATAGTATAGTATATAAAAGTATATAAAATATAATATAATAATATGTAAATAGTATATAAAGATAGTAAACCAACCTCAAATGATAGCTCAAAAAATAGTGCACTAGTTGAGCTTTCTATACTATTCTGTTTTCTGTATAGCATCTGCGCTGGCAATTGTCTAACTCAGATTTTTGAGGCACGGCACTTCTGGAATTGATTACCCTATGAAGACAACAACAATTATGCTAAGCAGCCTTTTTGGAATTACTGGGGAAAGGACAACAGCAGCGCTGAATGTCTCTCGAGTGCAGCTCATCCCTCTCTCCAATATTCTCCTTCACAGGTTAGTTTGTGGGGCTCCTCATCATGTTGTTTTCTTCTGGCATTTTTGATAAAAGTTGCAAACAGCCTCGGGCGATTTTTTTTAATGAAAACAACTGAAATGAGATATATGTGCCTAACGAGGATTTATCATAGCTATCACCTTATTGCTGTTAGACTATTCATGGAAAGCTTATTTACAGGCTACATACAAAGAGATATAATGCATATTCAGAGGGCCTCTTGGGAGCAGTTCCACAGCTATACGTTGTCCAGTTCTCCCTCTTAGATTGTGTGGATATCTTGCATAAGGTACTGTATTTACTTCCCTTTGCACTGGGGCACTCTACTGAACAGCAGGCAACAGACTGAGAAGGAATTGCTCACAGGAGAAATTTTCTGAAGCACAAATGAGCATGCTGTTTTTTTCAGTTTAATCCACAGGCTTAAATCCCAAAGTACATAAAATCCTGACAAACAGGCATTCATAAACTCCAGAAAACTCTACCAGGAGATTCCTAGAGTGCTATCCAGTTCCTCAGTACAATATGCACATAGTAAAAATGGGAAGTGTTGCATATAAGCATGCTCTGAACAGTTTATAACAACGTATTTGGTCAGAAAAGTCAGAGTTCTCCATTTCAACAGTTTCTTATGTTATATCAGTAAGTTCAGGATTTCCATGTCTTAGCATAAATAGATTCCCCTCTGATCAGCTTCTGGAGACAGACTTTCCTACCTTTGTATAAAGGGCAAAAATACATAAAGCTGCAATACACGAAGCCTTGATTGGTACAGTGACAACTTGAGACAGAAAGAAATCTTGGTTCTTCCCAGCTAACAGGCCTGAAGTCTTTGAGTAAGCATCTGGTCCCTACTTGCTGCCCACATCCAAAGCAGAACAGGTGCCAGGAGCCTGCACTGCAGTTAGAACACATCTTTTGGCCTCTGCATAACAGAAATTAAGTCTACAGGGTTGTCTTTAACCTCTAGATATATAACCTTTCCATTATTTGCAAATAACCTTTCCATTAGTTGCATTTTAATCTTCATTCTTCTCAATTATAATCAGATCAACTTGCACCAAATAGCTCTCACTCGTATTCAAGTTCTTAAAGTAGTTGATACCTGCAGTAACCATCAAAGTATTCCAAGGTACATCCATGCCCCTTTAGCCAAGCTGTCTGCACTCCCAGAAATATTCAGACAATTATGACCAAACCCACATACCCCTACCACCAGGCTGATGGTGAATCTGTCCTTCTCAGCCACCAAAATAGAGCCATATCATATCTATCCATGAGTGAAGGGAAAAGAGGAAGAGTTCCCCATCTATGTAAAGTGCAAAGAAACTCCACACAGACTAACAAAATCTGTCAGGTAAATACAATGCTGACTGTGATAGCTGAAGGAGTCCAATGTTTTAAAATACAGCAATGTATATGATCTTACTTATCACCTTACCATGCTGGTGCCTTTAGCTTAAACAGCTTTTCTGAAGCCTGGATCACTCTTATGTGGTCATTAGCCAACATACTGGCCCCCAAGAAAGATCCTACTTCCCAATAGCTCTGCAGTTTCTCCAGGCTCCCCTTTTTACCAAGCAGGCTGCTGATCTTTACCCCTGTAGTAAAAAAAATAATAGGTCACAGGAATGTATTAATGTACTTTGTACAAACCATTTCCATGATTTGAAATCTATTTGAAATCTAATGAAATCTATTCATTGCTTAAGTTACTGCAGCCTCTCCATTTCAAAGGAAATAAGATGGAAAATATACTTACCAGTTAACATCATATGCTTTCCAAACACCCTAAGCAGTAGAAGATTTTTATTTCCCCTCCCCCTCTTCCTAAAGGCATCTCAAGAAAGGAAATTTAAGACATCACTGTCAGGACAAGGCCACAGTCAGATTACCTATGTTCTTGCATGGACCTCATCTGTAAAGGTAAATTGGGGCCTTAGGCTACACAACATAGCTGTAAAAACTTAACAGATGCTGAATAAGGCACCTATTACGTTTTTTTCTGCTGTTGTTGTTTGTGATTTTTTTTTTTTGACTTACAAGCCCCAAGCCCCAAACTTACCTTTATAGACAAGGTCCCATGCAGAAGGAACAGATGATCCACTGGCCTTCTTCCAGCAGTGATGTTCTTTTAATTGCCGCAAGTCCTACCCCAATGAAAGACATCTATTAATATTCATAAGTCCCTCAGCAACTCAAGATTATGGAGAGCCTCAGGTCTTACTTTGACTTGCTACGTTTTATGAAAGCTACAAGTTTCCCTGTAGTCTTCAGGATGATTTTTAGATCACTTTAGCTGCTGCATATTTATAGCCAACATGAGACAGGCTACACCATCCCCTGCAAACAAAATAATTTCCAGCTTGTTAGACAAGCTTCTTCATCACAGTAGCCCACTTACTCACTTTTCCCACACTACTCAACTCAGTTTCCCTCCCACATCACCTGCCATTGTCCTTGATATTCAGAGTTGAGTATTCTCAACAAGTTTCAATGCAACTGTTGATCTATATTTTTTCCCCTTAACTTTCTTTAAGCAGCTAGCAGACTAAATTTCATTCTAGAAGCAGCAATAAATCTCACCAAAATAGATATTGTTATGTTAACTAGATTTCAGACAACAAAATCCATTTGGTTTTCTGCTGTTGTTTATATGTTTATGTTCTCAACCCCAGACAATGAACAGATACAGTTTTACACTTTGAATACAAGAGGTCTATAGTCTATTTCATGCCTGTATTTCACTTTGTGCTCCTTTGCTAACAAGTTGTCATGCCTGAGTAACATACAGAACAAAGTAATACTTCAGTGTAATTAAAAGCATTACTTGTTTGCTTCTTAGGGAAAGAAGTTTATTTATTCCTGAGGAGAAAACATGGAATTCCAAGTTTATGGCCTTCTCTTATAATTTCTCTGACTTATTTTGATCTTGTCTTTGAAAGTTTGAGAGTGTAAGAACACCCAAGCAAAGTCAAGACATTCTCTCCTTTTTGATAAACTTCACATTCACAGTAGCAACACCACCAACAAAAAAGCATCAGCTGAATTCCAGCACATTTTATCGCAGATACTTTTTTGCCTTAAAAATGAGCAAAAATACAGAAGCCATTAATACCATGAATACACCCACAGCTGGAAAGAAAATAATACACGGTAACGAGATACTACCAGTTAAACATTACTATGAAGGCTTCATAAACAAACTGCTTTTCTTGCTCAAATATTGACAGAACAATTCATATTGCTGGATCCTTTGTGTATCAAAGTTACAGTCTGCACAGATCATTACTGCCAATGCAAAGCACTGTGTTTAAGTTTTTGTCTCAAATTTCTGCAATTTTATACGGTTAAGAAAACAGCAGTGTTCAGAAAATATACTAATATACAATATCAATGCTTTAGTTTATCATTGCATTTTGAATTATTATTCTGGCAAGTATAGGAAGGAACTTTTAGAAGGCAATTTTTTGATCTGATGCAAATGGATAAAAAGCCTCTTGGTTACTGGAGTTATCCTTAGTTTTACTGGATTTACTAAATTATTGGCACTGTAACCAGATGTGAATTTTCTAATTACAGCCTCATACACCCTCTGAAGTGCTGTGAAGGGCAATATCTTTCCTTAGCCTTTCCCAACCTACCCATATAATTTCCACTGGAACCTGGACTGAACTTCAGTTGGCTTGCTCTTACCCACCTCCTTATCTCCCTCCAGAAGACAGCCTTCCTGTAACTTTTATGTGCTATAATAATGCTACAGGTGGACACCAAGCTGAAAACACTGCCAGAAAGATCTAACTGCTGCTAGCAAATGGTCTTACACACATAGATCAAGACAAGAAAGTGACCATCAGAAAAATAACATACGTGTAGGCATTACAGATCCTTTGGACAGAAAATAAATTGCACAAAACCTTTGGTTTTGCTTACTTTTGTTTAAAAACATTAACACTAGCCCAAGGCAAAGACAACTCAAGTCAACTGACAAACCTCATTATATCAACGTGGACCACAGTCTTAACACCAAGAACTCAATACACACAGGGTCTATATTGTAGATGTATTTGAAATTTTCTTTCAGCACAGCTATATGAAGCTTATAGTATTTTGACAATATTTCCTATAACAAAATAATAAATATTAGACACTAGCAGATCCCTTACAGCACCTGAAAAGGGTGTTGTAGGAAAGATGGAGAGGGAATCTTTTACCAGGGATTTTAGTGATAGGACAAGGGGTAACAGCTTCAAACTACAAGAGGGTAGGTTTAGATTATATATTAGGAAGACATTATTTACTGTGAGGGTGGTAAGGTAGGTGTAAGGCCTAGTGGAAATAAGCGGAAGTAAGGTGGTAAGGCCTAGTGGAAGGTGTCCCTGCCCATGGTGGGTGGAATTAGATGATTTTTAAGGTCCCTTCTAACCCAAACCATTCTATTATCTATTATTCTTATATGATTCTATGATCACAGGCGGGATTTGTCTGCTTTAAGGGTTTTCAACAGACACCACCTAAGTATTTACATGAGAGACTGGCACACCAACATCTCATTAAAAAAAAACAACACACAAACACTTCCAAACACCTACCAGATATTTCTCCTCTAAATCTCAGTCATCAGCCATGGATGGAACCTTAAATAATAAGGAGCCTTAACTTCTGTACCATTTTCCACACGAACAGTAGGGCAAACACTGGATAAACTCACAAGATGACACCAAACATCTGATCCCTACAAATAACGTACTTATGAAATCTGGCTAATCAGCTTGTCCAAATCTAGTTTTCCATAGTCTGTGTGCAACTGAATTTTCTTTAAAAGGGAAGGATTCAAATTAAACCACATTATAAATATAGTCCAGACACACTACACCATCTGTAATTTAAAATCAAGCCAGCTGAGTGAGTATTTGCAAATATTATGTAGAAAGCAAAATGTATATATTATTTTACCACCTACACTGACATGAATTCAAATTTCAGTGTAGGAGATTAAAGCATTCTATCCAAGCCCCCCAAAAATTCATCCACTTACAGAAGGGCAAATATGGTGGTTGGGGCAACTCTTACACAGCCCATCATATCTAAAGTTGCTTCATTAAAAAAAATAAAATAAAATTCAACTTCTATCATTTATATGGAAGTAACCATCTCTGAGCTCCATGCTCAAAAAATTCTTTATCTAGAACTTTACTTCCAGAGATATACTGCACACCCAACTTCTAAACAAGTGAAGTTGCTCATTTACAGACATCCTGAGGAATGAAGAGCATTGCTTCCTTCTGCTTGGGAAACAGAAGGATTAAAAAAAGAATTTGCAATAAGTCAAGAATTACATAATTTAATGGAGGAAAATGCCAGTTAGAAAATATATTTTACTACCTATTAGAATTTTCAGTGCTCTCTCTTATGACTTCCTTGACACTTTCCGTTCCCCTCAAATACAGTAAAATCACAAACAAAAATCACAAGTAGGACAGACCCCTTAATACAGAGGTTCAGAAAACCTCAAGAGAACATCTGAGCAGAATCATGATTCTTTCTCCTCTTAATCCACCCCAACATCAAGTCAAGTGTATTTTCACCACTGTAAGGATAGGCTCTTTATCTGTATTTCCAAACATTCCGTAGGTGGCTTTCTTTGTTATTGTTGTATTTATTCATTCTTTCATTTATTTATTTTTAAAGACTGCTACCTAGGACTGGAATTTCCCTTCAACTGTTCCTTCTGGCTAACAAAAAAAGACAGCACTGAAAAGAAGGACAGTCAGTTTTCACTGAGCTCTGGTAACCTGTAGACTTTCAGTCTGGAACCGGGTCTTCATGACAGTGCACACCATCAATCAGGTGGAATTAATGCTGGTGCGAGAGACTAATTTAGATGTTCACATACTCAATATCAAAGCTTTCATACACAACCATTAGATTTTTTTTCCCCTTGTGACAGTGGGTGGTGTTATACTTTCACCAGAAAGCAATTTCACTGTGAATTTGCAAGCTATAATTACCAACTTTCCGAAGCTCAAAGGAAGTATCAAAGCAATGTCCAGCTGCCAGGAGGAGAACTGCATAATTGATTCCTGACTGCAATGTTGGCTCTGACTCAAATGCCTTCTTGAACCTAGAAAAAACAAACACGCAAGTTTACTTTCTAAATAATGCAATCTAATAGGTACATAATTATACTTTTAGGTACTTTAAGTGCTTATCTTCAGTTTACACAGCAAAAATCCATGGAAGGAAAAATATTTTACTGTTTTCCACACATGATTTTTGGCTATTATTGAGGAGATTGTTACTTGCTCCTCACACTTCTTTCCTTTCACACAAGTACAGACTACAGCCACCCACCGCAGTAAATTTATAGTCTCTTACTAGATTTGCAATTCTTCCACTAAGTTTAAAAGAGAATATTATCAACTTGTAATAGACCCATTTCACAGTTTTATTTATTAATAGGCTCTTTAATTTACTCTTAAATATATGGATTTTTAGTAACTTGAAACTTTAGACTCATCTGCTCCAGTGACATGCATGCATATCAAAATGCATAAGCACAAAACCACAAAAACACACTTTGCATTCAGCCATGATTTCAGCTACTCCAAGTTTTATTCTTTACTAGCTATATCCCCTGTCCTCATTGTCCTCATAAGTCTATTCACATAAGGCATGGACTACACTAGATTTGGTTCTTCTCAAGAGGAGGTGAGCAAGAGAGTGAAGGAATGGCAGTGGTATTCATCTAGCTCAAGTCTTGTCTTAACAGAAGTCCAGGGGTGTCACATAAACAGAGCAGACTTAATCCCCATGCTAGCAATATAAGTCCTAGAGGAAATCTATAGTGTTTTAAACTTGTTCTATAGAATATGAACCTAATTTGGTTTTTATATATGCACCTCTGTAAGAAGGCAAACAAAGCTAACAAATGTGAGGTTGAGCACAAAAGATGCAGTTAACACAACTGCATTATAATAAAAGGAATTAAATTTGTAATTACATTCAAAAGGAGAAGAAAAACCCAGGCAAACAAATAGATTATGAAAGTGAAGCATGTTTTAAGATTAATACATAAAGAAGGAAAGAAAAAAATACATAAAGCCTAAGGATTTGGCTTCCAGACCACACTCTGACATGAAAGCAAAATTATGATATTTGTTCCTAATAGGCCAAGAATATATCTTTCTTTCCCCTGCTCTAAAGGTCTGCTTTCCAAAATTGCAAGAAAGGTTCCTCTTCAATCTGCTACATATATGCTCTTCCTATACTACAGCTCTGCCCACCTCCGATAACTTGATCATTAGACAAGAGTCTAGCACTCCTTTTAAAAAAAGGCATAATGATCTGAGAAGATAACTTCTTTTCTTTCATCATCTGCCTTTCCTCTTCTGCTGTTAGTTACAAGAAAATGAGTAAGAAAGTACATACAAAACATTTGTGATCACTAAAAGAACATACCATCACAAAAAAAAAAAAAAAAAAAAAAAAAAAAAAAAAAAAACCAACAAAAAGCCACCAACGAAGCAGAAAGACCCTCATTGATTCTAACAAATACAGTCCGAGTAGACCAGTTGGCTGACATAATTGGTTTGGAGACAGGGCAGCTTTGGAAACTGGACTCCCTTTTCTCCCCTAGTGAGCTTTCATGTTGTAATTGTCATGCAGTATCAGGAAAGAGAAGAAAGATTGGCAGAATAATTGACACAAAAGAAGAAAAAAACCCTGAAAATAAGTACTGTTTGTTTCAATACAGGAGACTCCACGCTTCTGCCTATTCATTTTGCCACAAAATGCCTGATTTCTCGCATGACTACACAAATTTCTCTAGTTCTAGGACAGATACATACCTCTTTTGTTTTTAAATTGTGAAGTTTTGTACCTCTAATGCACATCAAGTGGGAACATTTGTGCTATAAACAACGTTAATCATACAGGCAAAAGAAATAGAGATGACCTTAAGCATACAAAATAGTCACTGCTCGCAGATGCAATTGATGGAACAGCCCCACAAAAAGAATGCCTTTATTTATGCCATGTCATATACAGGCAATGAAAACAGCCATACACCCAAAAAAAAATGTGCTGTGACCCTCACAGACTAAGAAACCAATTCATAGGATCATAAGACTGATTTCCTTTATTATGCTCAGTCCTTGGCTTCTTTATACTTAGACTGACAAGTACCATCCTCTAACATAATTCTTGCAACATGCATAAGAAAAAAACAATCAGGAACCAAATATAGACATGATGCTTCTCCCTTCCCCATAGTTGAAACTCATCTTCCTAGCTATCTTCGTGCTACTTGCACCAAGAAATACTGGTATCTTAGAACTCTGAAGTCTTATTTAAGCCTCCTGAAATCTTATAACTCAAAGCATAATTTTATATTTGTTGTTATCCTGTGCTGACATTCTCGAATCTGCCTTATATCCACATAGTTTGCACAGCACTAATTTACAGACAAAAATAAAAAATCTGTAATAATTTTGCACAGATGAAAATGTTCACACTTTCAAAATAACTCAAATCATATCTGTTCACTGAACTGATAGAAATTCAGCAGGTGCAATTGGTGTGCTTTGTCAAACTCTAAATATCACTGGAAGCACCTGTGCAGCATTGTGGAAAAGCAGTCAGGTTTAAAAATTTGCCTATAGAGGTTGGCTTAGCTGATGCAATTAAATTGCCATCAAGAAATTGAAAGCTGACATTTGGGAAAATGTTGCAATGTGGACACTGAATTAGAGAGGTAGCAATAAAAAATTCTGAATAAAGACTTGACAGCACTGGTGAGTCTGATTTACATTGTCAGTAAGCAACAAGAAAGTGACAGTTAATAATTAGTTTTCATTTCTTGTCTCATATTTATATAAATGTCTTTTATTCTGCTTTTTAATTGTCATAAAAGCAAACTTACTGCCTTTTTTTTTTTTAAATAGGCTGAAGTACCTTCACATCACAGGCTGTCGCAAAACCAATGCTTTGGTTCTGCTGCCAAATTATTTTCTTATACAATTCACTATACTTCTCCTGCATCCTCATTTGTCTAAAACAGAGATAAGGACCCTTATCTCAACATAAACTAACATTACCATGGAGGCTTTGTTCCCGTGTGCTCCTTCCTCCTGCCCCTGCTGTAGCACCTGTAGTAGCTCTGCTCCCCCCCAGGAGCCATCAGTTGGGTTACGGCTCAACCCTTTAGCCACACCAAAAGCTGCTGTATGTCTAGCACTAAATTTCAAACCAACATCCTACAAGGTACAAGCTAAAAGCAAGCGACTGGAACCTGTACCAGATGAGCCAAATTCCAGCCTAACTGACACCACCTAGCCCTATGGCAGCAGCCCCACTGAGCAGTCTGCATTGGGTCTTACTTGCCAGAGACTTCAGGGATTATTTTTAGGAGCTGACTTGTCAGCATCCCCACCCCACCGCAGGAGCCGCCAGCCTCCTGTCCTTTCACAAGCTTTTATGCCTGAATGCAATCATTGCACCTCATCAAACAGATGAGCACCATGACTGATACGCGTATCTATTAAAAGCATGTTAAAATGGCTACGTGAAATATCCTAGTAAGTAATTACCCCTATTAAACATATAATCTTTCTTAATTATGTTTGAAAATCTCAGTCTGTTCTTAAACAGATAAATGAAAAGTAAAAATGAGGAAAAAGCAAGATATACAACAGCAAATTTAAGTTCAATTTATTCTATTTAGGTCATGGTAATGCCTAGTATTTGTATACACAGCTACTACAGTTTTCTTTTTGCATTAATTCATGACATTAGCAAAATATTTTTTTAAACAGTATCTCAAAAGTTGCTTATGAGCTTTGTCTTAGAGAAAACACAATTTTTCTTCAAAGTTATGAAATGGGAAGGAGGGAAATAATACGTTGCTTTCCTGTTATTTTGACATCACTTAGAAGTTCAGTAAGCTTTACAAAACTGTAAAGCATGACCAACAGTTAGGAATTGTACTTGCATTCTGAGACCATAAATGGTAAATAATTATATATTATCTTTTACTGAAGACAGTTCTAATCTACAGATTACTGAAAAGTGATAAATGAGGAAGAGAGACGCAAGCTTTCAATTCTAAGCATTTACTTCAATAGGCAGCTGATGAGGACAGAACTAGGATCTAATGTGCAGGATATGCACAACTGTAATGGAGAAAAGCAACTCATCCTGAGAAAAGTCTAAGATGGCATCTGGTGCTGCCATTTCAAACATGTCTTTTGGGAACTGAAAGCCTGAAGGATAAAATAAGAGAGAAAGAATACTTTAAAAAAATAAAAAAAAAAAAGAGAGAGAAAACTTATTCCACATTAAAGTCAGCATTTTTTGTGCATTTCAAAAGCAATAGCATGGTACCTGTCTCTAAAATTATAAGAATGTCTAATCCAATGTGTGCTTCTTAGACTCTTGGTGGTACTACAGCCCACTGTGACATGAAAATATTAAATGGTGATGATGGGGTAATAAAGCTTTTCCCAGAATGATTTTGGAGCAGTCATATTTCTCATGAGCAAAGAAGCCAAAAAGGACAAAATGGTACATCCTAAGCATCAGTGCAGATTTATACCTCAGAACCTTTAAGCTCACCTAGTAAATATCTATCAGATTGCAGATACACCAATTGATTCAAGTCTGATTACTGTCTGGTCCAGTTTTGTAAGAATAATACAGAATCACACAGAATCACAGAATTTCTAGGTTGGAAGAGACCTCAAGATCATTGAGTCCAAAAGTAAAGAAGTAAAGAAGAGACAGTAAAGAAGAGACTTCATATTTCAGAGAAATAAAGAAAATACATTCTTGTTTAAGGAATGCTTTCCCAAAGCAAAGAAAGGGACATAGACCAGGAAAACAGTACTCACCAGAACGTCCCTTTGTCTCTGCATTCTAGATCTATGAATCCAGATTCCAAAAACATGTCCTTGTAAATTCGACCCACCAGGCAGTACATATCTGAAGCTACTTGATCCTCCTGTTCTACCAAAGGAATCATAATTTCTAGAGCTTTCTGTCTGTCTCCAGGCAGATTTCGCCTATTAAAAATAAAATATTTCAATAAAAAACAATGAAGTTATCAAGAAATATGTTTTCATGGCCATATTTGAGTATATACTAAATTATATATTTAGAATTTGATAATATTTGTTTGTTTATATGTTTTACCCATGTAAAATGTGCTCCTAGACGCAATGGGCTATTTTATAAACATTTTTTTAAACCATGAACACTTAAAAAAAAAACAAAAACACAACTTCATAAAAGCCTCCCAAGCACGTTTACTCCCGCATGAAGTATCAGCTAGAGCAAAGCAAGAGTAAGCCTCAAGAGCCTCAAAGCAGAAGCAAGCCTCAAGAGCAATCCTTAGAAAGTAATACTTTCTTACAAAATATAAAGATATAAACCCAGGTTTCATATCTAAACCTTATTTCACAGTAATTCATACTTTAAAGGCAAAAGATTCCTTCTTGTGTTTACGATTTTTAAATACATATTTTGAATGTGAAGCAAAGAAAAAAAAAGTAGAAAACAGACTGAATTCCCCCATAAGAGAAGGTTAAGAAGTGAAGCCAATAAGGTAGTATTATCAAAAATAATTAATACAAATAAACCACGTAACTGCAAGCATTAGACACTTCCTGGTGACTCAGTTTGGATACATACATCATTCAGTATCAAGAGTTTAGAATTGTTTTTACCTATTTGTGTGCTGAACAAGCAAATGACTCCTTTCTCAGCAAAAACTATTCTTCTGTGGTTTAGGGACGGTTTTTTTGTTTATTGTTTGCTTTTTTTAAAAAAATTTATTTTATTTTGGAGAAGTTGCATGCAGAATTTGAGTAACTATCATTTGAATCGAGGGAATATAAACACGTTTTTAGATCTACTGACAGATTCTCATCTGATAGAGAAAAGGCTTTTAAAAAGTCTGTTAAAATGAAAAGTCACAGTTATCTTAAAGCACATACTACTTGATCAGAGATTCAATAATGGAATTTTCCTCCCTTTGCAGGAACATATCAAATGCATGTCTGCACAGGCAGAGATAATGTCAAATGAGAGGCCAAAGCACGTGTACTCTAAGCAATATGAGCTCATGAACGCAGTTCTGGAAGGAAGTGATGCGGAAGAATAGGCTTAAATCAAGCTGAACTAGGCAACAGAGGAAGAACGAGTACTTGTATCAACAAAAATAATTAAGAAAACAGAGCAAAAGCACTTCAGCAGATACTATGAACACCTTTCCTGAGGAAAAACAAAACAAAACCAAAATACAATAGACAGTGCAAATCCACGTGCTGGGCCAATCTCGATTGATGTCAGCTTAATAAGAATAAATCAAACCAAGTACCCTTCCTTCCCAACCTTCAGACCAGTCAAGTTCTAAGGAATGAGGAAAGTCTACTCAGACTACAGACTTGCAGTAGGCTCCTCAAGTACTTCCAGAGTGGCACAGCAAGACTGGTACACTTATCTGAGATGCACTAGTGCTCCCAGTCCCAGGCAGAGCAATCAAGTGCTCTCAGCTAAGCAAATAACCAAGTTCTTCAAGTCTATGCTATTCTGGACTCCCTGCCAAATGATCACTTGACCATTTGTGGAAGGTTAGATTCGTTTTATCTTCTCATTATGATCACTCAAGTAAAGCTGCAGACTGCAGCTTCATGTTTGCCAGCTGACTTTGATTAGAGAATGGCTATTGTCAGAATGGAATTTCAGGTGGATAATCCTTCCAACATCTTGTATTGACTAGCACTAACCCAGATGAAAACACTAGCTAGCTGAACTTAATGACAACAAGAACATTAAGGCACAGCAGTGGTTTGTGTTATGAGCCACTTATACTTTGCTGGTCTCCAGAGACAGAGATCCCTACCTCTCTTTCTGTTTCCTCTAGCATCATCAGTGCATTCACATACTTTCTTAATTCGGGTCAGACTAATCCTAACTGAGCTGCTCTGTCCTTCTGTACTAGTGACCTAGATTAGAAGCAAAAGGAATAGTTTCTTCCACAGCAAATATTAACACGTGCAGGGTATTTCAGATCTGCTTTAGTTCAGGAAACATCCTCTATATTCCAGATACGGAGAAAGTTACAATTACCCCAAATAATGTCTTCTTGGCATACATGTTTTTATGGCTGTCATTGACTGCAGACTGTAAATTCAATTTGAAAAGGTGATAGGGAAGTCTGATCTGAACTCCTTTGGAGATACTATGTAGACCTTCTGTATGTCAGATACCCTCAAAGGCTAGATCTTACAGTTTTCTTTTCAAAAACATGCCTCCTGGTCTGCAAGATGACCCAACAAAACCAATGGAGTGTAACGATCTGCCTGAAAAGAGTATACTGCAGTTTTGCAACAGAAAATATTTTTAGTGCCCAAGTCAACTAGCCAAATCCTGTTTTCAGAGGTGACTGTTGTAGGAAGCAGTGACCTTGGGGGTCTAAACATGTTAAAAATCTGTTTCTGTTTTAAAACTGACTTTACCTTTTCAACTAGTTGCCTATGAGTTATTTTTGACATCACTTTGACACGATATGCAGTTTTCAGCCTCCTTGGCAAACCTGAATTACAATATTCTTTCTGCTTCTCTCACAAATTTTATCTGTGAGACAGTTTCTGTATCTGAGAATTTCAATGCCTGCTGAGACTAGGTCTGCTCTTCTAAATATCAACAGCACAATCTTCACTGTGTCAATACTAAGAGAGCAGAACATCTCTCATTTCCTCTGAAAAATTCCCTTCTTAATGCCTTGCCTGATTGCCAGCATTCTAGAATTTCATTTTTCAAAATATGAAAATATATAGAAAAGTCAGGACACCACTCCTATTTAAGCCAAGAAAGCAGTGGTTGTTGCTGCATGTGGTACATTTTGTGCATGTTTTCAGAGAACATGAAAAATTGTCTATTACGGTAAAATCCTTTGATTAACACTTGATGAAAGCTTTCCTCCTGACTCTTGACAACAGGAGAACTCAGACTTAAATAAGAGCATGTCTAAGCCAGCACAAATGCTGCAACACTGCCACTCAAACAGCGACGCTAAGTGTACTTGACAGAGGTAAAACATTGGTAGTATTTGTTTGCTCAGATTTAGGTTCTAAAACAGAAACCTCAAATATTGATGCAGACCTATGGAAAGAAAAACCAGACGGTAAAGGAAGAGGAATGTAATTTGACAATATGAAAGGAAAACAAAGCTCAGATTGAACACGAAGCTCAGAGTCCCCAAAATCACTTCAGTGAAAACCCTAGACCTGTGTAAAAGGATTCCAGCGGAGACCTTTAACCAGGATTACCAACTATATGTGAAGTTTGTAGTACTGATTTACTAGTCAACAGCAGAAGGAAGGGTAGAGTCTTACCTGTTCAGTGCAAATGCATAATGAAATCTCACGTGGTGGTGGGAAGCCAAGTCAAAAGTAGGCAGTTTTTCTAAGGTTTTCACCAGTTTCACAATGGAATCATAATCCTTCCAAAAGAAGGGAATAATGAAGTTTTAAGTGGCTGTACCAAAGTATACCTATATAAACTCCTCATTGAGCTACGGACCTGGCATTTCATACTATGATGAATTTTTAGTTTGCTGTAAGTTATATGGATTTCAGTATACTCAGTCTCAACCTGTAAATGGCTTGGCATTCAGAGATGAGAATACACACAGTATTTAGCATAGAAACACAATTTGGCCTCCTGTACTTAAATGTAGATCTATGGAAATTTCAGTACATATATTTCATGACTCAATTTTGCTTCAGGGGCTGAACACATAAGAGTTCCAGAACTCTTTAAAGTAAGCTTGAGACACAGTTAAAGACAAAAAAAAAAACCAACTTCAGGATGATTAAGAAGCAACTATTGGATTACAGTGTAGAGTGATTACTAGCTCCGCTCAGAGAAACTGCAGTGTATATAAACATGTTCTGTTGCCATGAGAAATATCATAAGCATGGTGACAAAGCACACACACAGTAAGAATACATACGTATCAATAGCAGAATGCTAACATAGCCTTTAAGTAGGACACACTAAAGGCTTCTCATCAAATAGTAATGCTGACATGTGTACAGAAGTGTAAAGGCACACTGGCGTATAGAAGTATAAAGGCGTGCTATAAAACAACGTAACTAAAAGTAAAGTGGAAAGAATCTGAAGATACCGTAAAGGACTTTTACTACTGTAGTAATGTTTAGTAATGTTTACTACTGTAGTAACGTTTACTACTGTAACATGCTACTTTTATTGCTCAGAGTTTCTTAGCAAATCTGTGCAAAATACACTAGAAATTCCACTAATAATGAAATTTAATATATTTTTAGATGATCTTTGAGCATAGGATACATACCTGGATGTCTCTATAGGACAACAGCAGGTTTATTACAATGTCAGCAGACAGAACTTCAATATTATCCACTCGCTGCCGAATCCTTGCCAGCTCTGCCGCAAGCTCTTTGCCAGTGTAGAGGGTACGAGCCTTCCTGATGTCATTCAGAATGGATTCCCGGAAATACTGGCTGGAGAGGAACAACATCACGTTAGCAATTTGGGACAGGTCCCTTGCATTTGCTTTTCTGGCCCTGCAACTCTACGACAGTACCTTTATGGAACATTTATGAATAGAGCAGTATCAGTGGGAGGAGAGTTGGTCAAACTAAATTTTCATTATCAATTTGTCTCAAAAAAAAAATTCATCACCCTGAAGAGCGAGACTGACATTTATACAGCCAGCAGAAACACGAATTTTACAAAGGAATACAAAAAGACAACTTACCTTGAACTGGCCTGTGCTACCTTCAGGAGCTGAATGAATCGATCCACCAAAGGTAAGCATATAG